CATCTGGAATTATCTCATTCTGGAGAACTTCACAGCCCCTTATTAAAAGTAAGGATCTGAGAACTTGGGTCTTGGCCATCAGCTGTTAGGAATGATTCAACAATAGTTTTAAAATGTTATTTTATACCAAAATTGGAGAAAATGAAAGGCTGAAAATGGAGGGGGAAAGCCTACATTGAAATAATGAATATAAGTCAGAAGACTTTCTTCTTCTTGGCACAACCATCAAGTCACTGAAGGTCTCTGTACCTCTTTGTCTTCCTGTATGAAATGAAGATCATGGACCAAATTATTTCTCAGGACCTTTCCTCCTTTGAGATTCTGAAGATTCAGATGCAGTATACAGGGTACTTGTCCTCCCAATCTCACCATTTTCAAAATGCAAGAAGTGTCACAAATCACTACATGATTACTATCCAAATGGGTGATACAATTGGGAAGGGATTTAGACAGTGATGTGCTGGCGAACAGGCTGGGGGCTGGGGTAAAGAGAAAAGTGCTCTGATTTGTAGAATTTGTTGATTTCCATATTGTAATTACTTTCACATTACCAGCATGACATCACTAAACTCAGAGTTGGGAAGAGATGCACAGAATTGGCTGCTGGGATCCAGCAAACCAGTTAAGAATGCAAAGAAGGCATTTTCTTCATACTGTTCAATGCTGAGAGGACTTGATAAAAGAGGGAAGATTTGAACTAGGCATTGAAGGATATTGATTAGGACTTTCCATGCTAACTGACAGAAACAATTCAAACTAGCTTAAAGAAAGAAAACGAATATAAGAATGAGACTGTTTTAGCACAAGTATCTGAAAAGGGGCTTTAATAATGTAGTCATGGCACTTGCTCCACCTTTCAGTTCTTCTTGAATCTGTTTCTATTTGTGTATTGTCTCCTGCCGTAAGCAGGGTCTTTCCAAGTGGCAGGAAAATATAGCTAGTGGCAGCCCAGGCCTACCTCTTTGCAGTCAACAATTCAAAAGAAAAGCAATGCAATCTTATGGAGATCACATGGAAAGACTCTGGCTCACTCTGGTCTCATGCCCACCAATTCAGCTACTAACTGGGCAGAAAAGGAAAAGGTACGTAATTCACACTCCCTTGCCGCTGTAGCCAGAGGGCAGACAGAGCACTAGGATGGACCTCTCTTCCCTTACCACCCAAAACACATGAGAGTCATCCAAACAGAGCTCCCTAATGGAAAAAGCCATGAATTTGTGGTAGAAATATGGGTAAGGCTTTGTGGAGAGGCAGAAGAAGAGAGAGTAATTAGAGGGAACAGCATATACAAGTGCAGAAATGTAAACATTGATGGTGCATTTGGGAGTCAGTGAGAAAACCACCCTGACTAAAGCAGAGCTACCCATAAGACAGTGGTTTGCAACAGAGGACAATTTTGCCCCTCTAGAAACATTTGGCAATGTCTGAAGACATTTTTGGTTGTCCCAGCTGGGGTTGAGAGGGTCTGCTACTAGTAGGTAGTATCTAGTGGGGAGAGGCCAGAGATCCTGCTAATCCTGCAACGCACAGGACAGCACCCTCAACAAAAAAAGGCTGTGTTTAGGCTAGTGTTACACAGGAAAGCATTAGAAAGAGTAAGGTAGCTTGTACATACTCTACTCCTTCTGCCTGGCACCTCCCCACACCTTGGCCACCTTTGTATGACTAGCCCTTTTTTATCCTTTGGGGCTCAGCTTAAATATCACCTACTGAAGAGATCATCTAGACTTCTCAATCAAAATAGGTTATCTCACAGACTTCATGTCAGTATTCTTTCCCATGTTTCCCTCTTATTTTCCTTCATAACTTACCACAGTTTTGAATCATATATTTATTTGATTGCTGGTTTCACATCTGTCTCCTCATACGCCCTGTGGAAGCAGAGACCTTCCTTATTTGTTCATCACTGTGACCCCAATGTCAAGCAGAGTGCCTGGTGCATTATAGTTGCTTATATTTAATCAACTGATTAATCTGAAGGTTGATGGTAGGATTGAAATGGGGCTGAGCGTAGGAGGTGGATAGAAAGAGGAAAGAAGGCAGTCCTTTCTTCCCTGCTTGTTCTGATCCACACTTATCTCCCTTCCCTGACTTTCACAGCACCTATAGTTCATAACACGATATGTCAGTTAGGATTTTAAGCAAACATGAATGTAATAAAAAGAATCAAACTCGGAACCATTGCAGAACAAGTTCTGACTTGGGTTTGCAGGAATGAGTCTCAAAACCCGTCACCCTACTAACCCCACCATCCCAAGGGAACAGTTAACTTCTGCCACAATCAGGAGGCCAGTGACTGGCCTAGTTTACAGGAACACAACATCTTAGGTGTAATCTGGGGATCCGGAACTGCCAGAACTCCAGAGTCACATTGCACCTTCCAAGTCAGCAACAGCAAAGTAGATTCCTCCCAGGCTCTTCACAAAACTCAGTTTTTGTTTTTTGGGTTTTTTTTTCTGAACACAATTTTGAATTCAGGTCTTGCCCAGTTGCTCAGGACTAGCTAAACCTACATTATAATGGGAGCCCCAACAGCAAGGAGTCTAGGAAATTGATTTTTAGCTTTCTAGTCACTGTTTTATAGGAAGGCACACCAAGAAAAGTTTGGACAATTGTGGAACAAACCAGTCTGCCACATCTGGCTTATAGCTGCCCCGCTCTGTAGCCATCAATGTCATAATGTCATCATCTTCTCTAGATGGATACTAGCATGTTCTTTAGACATGAATGGATGTGAAATGAATTGAATGGAAGGGGAAAATCCTCCTCTTTCATGTTCACACTTTGCACCTTTCCTGTGGCACTTATTCTATTTTGCCTCCTAGTGTAATTTCTGTTCTCATTCAGAAGTTCACCTCTTTGTCCCCATACTCAAAATAGTTGGTAAATATTTATAGACTGTGGCCAGGTGTGGTAGCTCACACCTGTAATCCCAGCACTTAGGGAGGCCAATGTGGGTGGATGACCTGATTCCAGGAGTTTAAGACCAGCGTGGGCAACACGGTGAAACCCCATCTCTACTAAAAATACAAAAATTAGCTGGATGTGGTGGTGCGTGCCTGTGGTCCCAACTACTTGGGAGGCTGCGACAGGAGAATCATTTGAACCGGGGAGGCGGAGATTGCAGTGAGCTGAGATTGCACCACTACACTCCAGCCGAGACGACAGAATGAGACTCTGTCTCAAGCAAACAAATGTTCATAGACTGAGTTCAAGACAAAGAGAAACTAGGGAGAGGAAGTCCTAAGCCCCAGTCTAGCTTGACACAGTTCTTGCAGCTCGTGGAACTGCAGCTTAACAAGTATTTTGGATTGCCTGCTACATGAAGCCATCACCACTGCAAGGACCCATAAGACAAGGACTAAGGAACTCTGCTAGGCTTCAGGAAACCTAGGTTCCAGGTATCTTCAAAAGTTGAGAAAACATTTGTCCCCATTCATTCAGTCAGTAAATGTTTCACATTGCCAAGTATAGCATCACTTCCTTTCTTATACTTTTCATTAACTTTTTTTTAAAAAACCAACAAGAGTAAGCCAGTGATTTCAACCTCTGTCATAATGAAGCCACATGGGTAACACACAGATATTCCCACTGTACCCTAGGAGAGGGGCTTTCCTGAACCCTTTAGATTCTGAATGGCCTCCAGGCATCTTAAGCAGTTTCCTCACCTTTCAGATTTCTGACACATCTGACACAAGGGGCTGTGGATGAAAGTTTCCTTTCCAGACATCTGTGTATCAACACCCTAAACTCTGCTTCACATGTTATCACTCATTCATGTTTAGAGCTCACAGTTCGCCTACATTCAGACAAGTCTCAGTCGTCTCTCAGGGTTCACCTGAAACATCACTTTCGCAGGCCTTCCCCTGACCGCCCAGTTTATACTTTTAAGTTTTTCTTTTCTGTAACACTCATTTCGCTTGTAACCACTTTTATCACCCCCAGATGGAGGGCTCTAAGTTTCATGAGGGTAGGCATCAAGCCTATTTGTTTCCCTCTATATCCCCAGCACCTTGCTTGGGGACTGACACATAATGGATGCTTATTAAATATTTGTTGAATGAATGTTTGTTGAGCCTACAAACTTACATTCTTAAACAGTATTTATGTAATATTAGTAATAATTCCCTACATAGTTCAATGGCTTACCAAACATCTTTATGAGTGAGTGTCCCAACTTTGGGGTAAAGACAGTGCAGGTAATATTATTCTCCCAATTTTTCAGAAAATAAATCACTATCTGTGAGGTTATCTGACTTGATTAAGGCAGTGGATCCAACATTAGAATTTGAATGCATATCTGTATTAAATTTCTGACTGTAAATTTTGTGTCATTTACCAGCTGTTAACCAGATGCTCTGGCCGTGGAGTGAAATATGGGTAGCTAGTGGAAGACAGCAGTGGAAGGAACAGGGAGAAGCAAAAGCCAGGCCTTGGAGGGATTTCCTTTCCTCCAGTGCCTGCTTGGTTCCTTAACAAGATTGCTTTGCCTGTCCTGGGAGCTGAGGACACTCCATACATCTCTCAATGACTTGAGGCTGGGCCAGAGAGTGAGTGAGACCAGTGAAGCCTCACTTGCTGGGGAGGGGAGAAATGAGGGCTAGGACACAGGGGCACTCACTCACACTATTGCATATGTGCACACTCCAGACAAAATCCACACAAAGGCATGCATACAAATCAACACACAGAATGAGCCACTGTACAGTCATACACACATTTAAACATGCACCCCACATACAGATGTCTAGCCACTGCGGTGTACGTCCAGCCGCTGATGAGCACTCCAGTTACACACCGAGCTGCCATCTTCGACATGCGCATGCATGTGTGGATACACCGAACAGCCCTGATGAAAATGTTAATAAATGTACGTATGCACACACATAACTAAACACATATATACGATTTATCATCACACTCAAGTACATGCACACCTTTATAAACACGTGGGAATCCATCAGTCTGATCACTCTGGCCCACAAAACCTCCAAATACACTAACAAGCTCTACACACGCAGAGATGCATCGACACACCCGAGTTGTCATCAGCGCTGCAAGTTTTTTTCCAAACAGCTGCTAAAAAGAGAGTGCTGCGCTGCGGGCCAGCCCACGTGACCGGGAGGAAGGCTCTCCCGCCCATGACGGGATGGGAAAACTATGCCTGGGGCCAGCTCTCGGCCCGGCTGCCGCCGCGGAGGAAAGCAGGGACGTGGAGCGCCGCCGAGAGCTTCTTTGCTCCGGACGCCCCGGGACGTGGCGGGCAGCCGCGAGGGTGAGTGTCCCGCACCGCGGTCGGGAGGGGCGGGAAGTGCGCGCGGGAGGAGGAGGATCGCACTGCTGCGGGCGGGGCGGGGTGCGAAGGCGGGAGAGCTGCCAGCGCGCCCTCATTGCGGGCTGGGCAGCTCCCTCACTCCTGCCTCTCACTGCTGCCTTCTGTGTCATAATACAAATTAACATGTTTGGAGTCCTGACTCTATGCCAGGCTCCGTGCCCAGTGGTTTACCGGTTACAGTAGTCATACCCGTATTGAGCGCCTACTTTGTGCCAAGTCCTGCCCGCACTTTACTTGCGCTCTTTCATTTTCATGACAACAGATTATCCCTGTCTACAAAACAGGAACTGGGCTCAGAGACATTAATGACTTCAACAGGGTTGCACAGGTAGTAACTGATGAAAAAGGGACTTGAAGTCTGGTACGTTTGAGTCCAATACCCGAGCTAACAGTCACAGTTAACATTTACTGAATGCATTATTTCATTTAATTGTCACATTTATTTAAATATATGATACAGACTGTCAAACTGAGCTCAAAAGGTATTGAACGTCAGGCAGAGATTTGTATCCAGTGCTTCATGACTCTCTTCACTCTCCTTCCTCCCCCTAAACTACTTGTCTTAATATGCTTTGTTCTTATTTCTCCATCCCCACTGCTGCTGCCCCTTTCTAGGATCTCACTTTTCAGCTGAACAATTGCAATGGCCCCTAACAGTCTCCCAGCCCAGGTCTCTCCTCTGACACCATGAGTCTCTTGCACAGCCTCACTGTGATCCTTCGCTGCTCCTTGACCACAAAACTGCCGTGCTTGGAACTCTTCAGGGGTCCCTTCCTTAGGCTGGCCATCTCTCAGAGACCCTGTGCTTCCACCATGCTGAACTAGCAATAATAATAGCCAATGTCCTACATAGGTCAACCCAGGGCTGGTGCTCAGTTAGCATTGTTAAAAATCTGTCCTCTCACATCCTTATGTTTGCCCTCCCTCTGCACCATTCTCTACTTTATTCTGTCATCGGGAGTAATTATATCAATTACTCCTGCTCTCAACTGCCCACTCCTCAGACTCTCCACACGTTTCCAAAATCTCTAGAGCCCTTCATTCTAACATATCAGATTCACTGCAGAATTTGTTTCCTGCCAAATGTCTGACTTCTCTCCACCTCCTAGCAGGGAAACCACACTTACCTGTCTTCCAATCCTTAAACCTTAGGGTTACCTTTTGTTTTAAATGTTGTAAAAGTAACGATACTCATCGTAAGAAATGCGGACAGTTCAAAAAGGTAGAAAGTGAAAATTAGGGCCGGGTGCGGTGGCTCACACCTGTAATCCCAGCACTTTGGGAGGCCGAGGCGGGTGGATCACGAGGTCAAAAGATCGAGACCATCCTGATCAACATGGCGAAACCCCGTTTCTACTAAAAATACAAAAAATTAGCTGGGCATGGTGGCGCGTGCCTGTAATCCCAGCTACTCAGGAGGCTGAGGCAGGAGAATTGCCTGAACCCAGGAGGTGGAGGTTGCGGTGAGCCGAGATCGCGCGGTTGCACTCCAGCCTGGGTAACAAGAGCGAAACTCCGTCTCAAAAAAAAGAAAAAAAAGAAAAAGAAAAGAAAAGTAAAAATCCACACACTCCCTCCTGAAAGGTGTAACCCCTTTAACAAGATTTTGTGTCTTTTCAGAAATTATTTCTCCAACCCCTCTGTGTGTATATATATGTGTATACATATATACATATATATATACACATATACATATATATATACATACACACACACACACACACACACACACACACACACACACTGTATTTGTGCTGGGTTTTGTTTGTTTTGTTTTGTTTTTGAGACAGAGTTTTGCTCTGTCGCCTAGGCTGGAGTGCAATGGCTCACTGCAACCTCTGCCTCCCAGGTGCAAGCGATTCTCCTGCCTCAGCCTCCCAAGTAGCTGGGACTACAGCTGCGTGCCACCACACCCAGCTAATTTTTTCTATTTTTTGTATTTTTAGTAGAGACAGAGTTTCACCATGTTAGCTAGGATGGTCTCGATCTCCTGACCTCGTGATCCACCCTCCTCAGCCTCCCAAAATGCTGGGACTACAGGCATGAGCCACCACACCTGGTCATTTTTTTTTTTTTTAACTCAAAGAGAATCATACTTTACGTTCCATGGTACAACTTGATTTTTTCACTTAATAGTGTGTCTTCTCCATGTTCATATCTGCATATACAGGCCTACTTTGTTCTTCTAATGGTGTCATACTGTGTCATTGTATGGATGAACTGAGACTACTTTTCACAAGGCTGGAGTCATCTTTGAAGCCACTCTGTCTCTATGGAATATTCATCCAAGATGTCACTTTTTCTATGCAAACCTCCCTGTTCTTTTCCCCTGTCTCTCTATTCCTTTTCTTATCCTGACCCTGCTGATCGGAGAATCTCTCCGGCAGTCTCAGTCACTGATGCTTCCTGCTCCTGAATGTTCTTTGTGGGGTAAGAGAGTCCTCTCCACACCCACAGCTTCACAGCCACTCCATCTTCCAGGTCAAAGGCCTGCCCGCCTTACTTTGCCTCCCTGAGCTGAACTCTTGCATAAATCAAACTTCCCTTAATTATATTCTATTCTAGCTTTTCTTTTGAAAGGAATTCTGTGCCAAATATTTTTTCCAGCAAATAACCTTCCCCTGGATTTGTTCACTTCTATAAATAGCTTACTTCTATAACAGACATACACATATGCATACACATCTCTGCCTTGTTAGTAACTCCCCTGCTAGCTGAGGGGCCATGGTAAAGGAACATGAGCTCTGGGCCCCGAGCCAGCAGGCCTGAGTTCCACCCCACTCTGAACTTTTCCTAGGTCAGAGTTCCACCCTCTGACCTAGGAAAAATCATTTTTCCCTTTTCCAAGCTCTGTTTTCTCTTCTGCCAAGTGGAGATGACAGTATCAGCCTCCTAGAAGTGTGGGGAGAATTAAAGAAGATATGAACATCAGAACTTTGAAATAAGAACACACAACATACATGGAGCATCATCACTCTTTTCCTCTGGATCAGGGGTTGCAAACCCAGATACCGACAGAGGCTGTGAACAATGTGTACAGGAGTGGGATGCATGACATTTGGGAGTGGTGAGGACTGTGGACACTGAAGAACTCAGGCTCTTTGTCCTAGTCAGCGTGGGGCACCATAACAATACACGGACTGGGGAGCTACAGCAATAGACATGTATTTCTCATGATCCTAGAGGCTGGAAGCCCATCATCAAGGTGTCCACAGTGTTGGTTTCTTCTGAGGCCTCTCTCTGTGGCTTGCAGGTGGCCATCTGCTGTGTCTTCACATGGTTGTCACTCTGTGTCTGTGTCCCGATCTCCTCTTCTTATAATGACACCAGTCATACTGGATTAGAGCCCACCCATATGACTCATTTTACCTTGATTACCCTTGTTATGGTCTGATCTCTAAATACAGTCCCATTCTGAGAACCTGAGAGTTAGGACTTCAATGTGTGAATTCTGGGGAGACACAAGTCAGCTTGTAATATCTTGTCTCAAAGGGCAGCCACCTGGTGACCTGCCCAAACGCAGGCTCAATGCTGCCAGAGCCTTCTGCTGCTCCAGAAAAGCAGCAAACGCCGATGTTAAACGTAAAATCTCCCAAGTTTTACATTGGCAACAATTTAAAATTCAAAACCCAAAACCAAAAGTATGCAGTACGGAGTACAGAGTATTCTGTGATCCACGTGAGGCCGCCGGTAAGCTGGACCGATCCCTGCTTGTCTGGGCTATCATTTCCTCACTGGCAAGGGCATGTTTCATAGCTTTTTAATCCTTCTCAGACAGTCTTTGCACATTTTTTATTCTTTTTTTTTTTTTTTTTTTTGACAATGTCTTGCTCTGTCACCCAGGTTGGAGTGCAGTGGCACTATCTCTGCTCGCTGCAGCCTCTGCCTCCTGGGCTCAAGCGATTCTCCCTCCTCAGCCTCCCAAGTAACTGGAACTACAGGCATGCATCACCACGTCCAGCTAATTTTCATAGTTTCTGTAGAGATGAGGTTTTGCCAGGTTGTCCAGGCTGGTCTTGAACTCCTGGGCTCAAGCGATCCACCTGCTTTGGCCTCCCAAAGTGCTGGGATTACAGGTGTGAGCCGCCATACTCAGCCTGCACATTGTAATATTAACAAAAAGTTAAAAGCTAATCATTGAATGACTAAATCTGAATTTTCCAATCTTGTTTAAAGTACGGCACACCCGTAGAAAAACGGGCATCTATAGCATTCATGCCAAGCTATTAAATTGCATCAGCCATTATAACTGCCTTCATCTTCAACTTTGTCATTGATGCCAAAGCTTACAAATGTTCAGCTCCTCACAGGTACAGCCAATTTACAGATGAGGAAACAGCAGACCCAGGTCTGCTGATTTATTCTCATGAGTATAATAACCTTCTCCCATTGCATCATCTCTCTCTTTGTTCTCAGGAATGATTATTGTATCAAAAAAACACTACTGTTACTGAGTGCTTACTGTGGGCGGGTTGCTGCATTATTTCATTAAATATTCACAACTACTCTATAAGAGAGGTGTGAACAGTCAAATTACTCAAGGGAGGCATTCCTAAAGACCTCAAATAATTCAAAACTGGTGTCATTAGAAGCTCACCTGCTGAATGGAAAACGAAACATTATATGTTCTCACTTGTAAGCGGGAGATAAGCTATGCAGATACAAAGGCATAAGAATGACACAATGGACATTGGGGACTCAGGGGGAAAGGGTGAAAAGGGGGTGAGGGATAAAAAACTACAAATAGGGTGCTGTGTATACTGCTCAGGTGTTGGGTGCACCACAATCTCACAAATCACCACTAAAGAACTTACTCATGTAACCAAACACCACCTGTTTCCCAATAACCTATGCAAGTAAAATTTTTTAAAAAAATACCTCACCTGCTGAAGAACGGTAGATATTTCTGATTACCTGTTAGGACAGTGCTATCATGTGGC